TCCCTAGGCGATGGTGACGTCATTGCTCCCGATTTGGATGGTGTTTGTTTGGAACATGTACTGGGTTCTCCATTGGTGTGGCAGTATGCACCGTTTTGGAACCCTGCATGCATCCTAAATTCCCAACCCCATAAGTACCGACCAATTTTGTGGTCCCGTTTTGTCCCCTATGCATACCAATGAAATGGAAACTACATACAGAAACCGGTACAGAGCGGTTGGGGGTTAGCTTTTGGTAACCACACTCACTTTTGTAAGGTCGTGTAGACTTGCCTAAGGTATTACAGTTCCTTTTTACGGGCTAGCGATCGGCAATTACTACTAGCTAGCTACTACTACTAGTTGTATCATGGTTATTGGTATTGCGACTACTGTAAAGCTTGGTTTGAAAGCAAGAGGGCACTAAGTGCTCACACCAACCAATCTCGAGTTGCATTGCAGCAAGGCAGATTTCACTGGCATTGGCAAAGCAACAAAGAAGTACTAGTACTAGGAGAAAAGGGACATGACTACTGCAGGGCTTGGTGCACTGACACGGAAGACCCGCTAAAGCACCACGGCAAGTTAGAAGATCTGCAGGAGAGGAGAGAGGCACATCAAGTCAAATGCCAGCCATTCCACAAAGACATGGTGGAGGAAGATCAAATTGCTTGGGCCATGCAAGATGGTGGTGGTATTGGTTCTGAAAGCGAGGAAGACAATAGAAAACCAGCAGCTGACCCGCGGTTTGTACCCGAGATGACGGCAATGAGGAAGCAAAAGAGGGGGCAGATGAGGAAGCCATAAGAGGCAACTGATGAGGAAGGAAGTGACGACGATTCGCAAGAAGACACAGATGATGATGATAGTAATGAAGATGATTATGAGACCAGCAGTGGTGATCAACAGCTACCCTGGTACAAATTCCCAAGGAATGGAAACATGACAATGAACCTCCAGACGATAGGAACATCAACCAATTCCGGCATATTGTGCAGATTCAAAAAGACGTTCCTCCCCTTGGATAAGAAACAGGCTCGGGGTGTCAAATTGATGGATATCTTCGAAAGAACAAGGGCCTTTGACTGCGTATGATGATTGTGTGACATGGCACTTGGATGAAACTGGAGCCCGATTGGTGACGAGAAGCTTGGTGAGTTCCGGAGTACTTGAGCCGGAAAAAGTTGATGAGCTTCTCATGACAAGATACAACATGGGTGGCAAATTCCTTTCACAAAAGACCTTGTCTTCCACATTCAGGTGCTAAAATCAAGGTGGTGTGCCACGTGCTCGCCATTGTGTGTGGCAATTGCTTGCCATCCACGCCTCAAGGACGACATTTCTGCTTTTTCGATAACGATCCACTAGCTCCACCACCTAAACGAGTACCAAAATCAGTCAGTTGAACACTGGTGAGGTACCGCAATTGTTACAAGCATACGTTACCAATCCCGAAAGCAAATGGGAAACGGCATCCAATGGTATATTGATGGGCAGTGACTGGCCAGTTCCAAACCTTTCGATAACTGCGCTGAAAATGTCTCTCTCTTGTTTCTCCCTGGAATATCGAAGGAAGGATCAGGCATGGGCAACTCTTGGATATGTTGTCAACTACTCGGCAGGCAAATCACAAGGAAAAGAAGATATTTGCCGACTCAAACCATGATCAAGACGTTCTGGATTTCCTGAATTTCGAAGGTTTACTTCCCCATGAGGGGGGTAGACGAACAAAAAGTCGTGAAGGCACAGGACTTCCATTACCAACTTGATACCATCTTGCACTCTTACGTAACCATCCAAACAACTGGGATGTATGGGATCTCCATTACGAGGAAGCTTTACCGAAACCTCGAGCTTTGGTTCTTTACTGTCATGGTGAGGTCGATACCGATGAGCCGAGGTGCTCTGTGGAAATGATAGAAGCCGGTTGGGCAATGTTAAGATAATTTGTCGATACTGCAACGTTCCAACTCTTGACTGCAACAACCACGTTGATACTTACACAGCAAAAACACTGACAAACATCCAAAAACTCATCGACGCCAAGGACAAGAAAGGATTGCAGCAATTTCCCAGCATCTTGATTGACAATGCATGGAATAAAGGTCAGATTCGATCCCAAGTACGATACTGGAATCATGGTGCTTCCCCTCTGAGATGCTCCACGCCATGTTGTTGGGTATCTTTTGTATACGAGAGAGAGCTTCTTTGCCCAGATTGGCCCAACTCAGCGGAGCCAAGGAGATTGATGCATTGGCATCACAATATGGGCAACTCTTCTCCCATAACTCTGAACGAGCATCCCAGGATGCAAGTCACCATGGAATCAGGCAAAGAAGAAGCTGATTGGCCTCGAGTACCGTTGCGTTTTGCTACTCATCGCTGCGTATTGAGATCGTCCTACGCATGTCGTTCGGTACCTTCCAGACCTCGCTGTTTTTGCGAGACCCCATTATGCGCTTCTTAGATGTTGAATGAGAGCGCCAGCGAATTCTTTGACAGCAAAGATTGGTTGTTCAAATCTTGCGGCTTTGGGACGCGCTGTTGAGTTTGTTTTCTCTTTGTGGAAATACTTTCCAGGTACGCCTCTTGGCAATCGGTCTCTTCGACAGGTCATTGTCAATCCGTAGCCATTCTTTGCTGCATACTGAAAGATGTCTTCTCCGCTGAAGAAATTGTCCCAGGTGATGTGGGGCTTTGACTTAAGGATCCTTGGCCTTGGAATTCCATTATTGTCTTGCTCTTTCATCAAGAGGTCAAGCTTGTCCATTATCAGTTTCACTTCGCTGGGACCTTTCTGTGTGAAAGCCTGATCATGTAGCTTGTGGCGATGCACATAAGCCCTTGGACGAATGCGGTCCACATCAGTGACAATGACAGTTTGACCGCCCCGAGAGATTCCAGGTTTTCCGAGGATCTGTGACACAACTCCAGAAGCCGGTTCACCAAAGCCTTGATGGCCCCAGCTTGATTCATCGCCAGACATGTCCAATCCACAGGAATCGGTGATGGCATTGACATTGTGGGTAATCACCTTAAAAATAAAGTCATACTTGTATGCTGGATCGTACCCTTGTTGTCCCTTCTTTGGTTGCCGTAGGTTGTTGCAAAGCTTGTAAATTCGCTTTATTTCCAACCAGCGAGACTTACTGAAAGCAGCCGACATCAATGAATCGAAAGCTTGATTGTTTTCTCTTGTATCAAAGCGACGGATAATAGCCCCATTGCTTCCACCACGAACTCCGTCTTGGACCAAAGATCCGTCCCAACGTACAAGCTCTGGAATGGTGACTGCATGGAATCGGTGTCCGTATCCACATCCCAATCCAAGCTCAGCAACAGCGTAAGAGTTGCTGTTGCTTGACACATCGAGGTAGTAAGACATTCTTGGATCATTCTGATTTCGCTTCGTATCACAAATGGGAAGCAACAGTTGCAAGAAGAACAAAGAGTCAGGCGCATTGTCTTCTTGAAGCATCCTTTCTTCATTCAATCCAAGTTGAAGGAGAAGGAGAACAGCGTTGCTCAAACTACCACGTCTTGTTTCTGGAAAAAGGTTGCCACGGACAGCTCCACTTCTGAAAGCTGGCAATGATAAGTCTCTCGACCAACCATCATAATGGAACTCCCATCCATTAACTTTGCGTTCTCCTTGCTCGTTTGGTGGAACAGGAGTTGCTCCCGTCGGAAGACAATGGTACAGATATTTCTTGGGACCTTTGCTTTCAAATTTGGGCCGGAAAGTGAAATTGCTCCAATCTCCCGGATTGTCAAGGTCCTTGAATTCTGGCTCTCCCTTCGCACTCTGCCTTGTCGGTGGTGTCCAATCTTCAGGTGCACTGGGTATCTTCCATCCAACTGGGGCTCCAAGGATTTCCACGTTTTGCAAGGAGGGATCAACTGACTGAAGCAGCGCTTCATCTGGAATTGCAGCTTGGTTATCTTCAAGTCCTTGCAATCGATCTATCAAATCATTGTCTGTAGCTGAATCTGTAACTGTAATAACAACATTTTCACCTCCTTCATCCTCGGAATCAGATGCACCAGCATTCTCTTCGTGACATCTTGCATCATAGTTCGCTTCAAACTCCAAAGGCGATACCTCTTCACCGCTGGATTCAGATGTAGACTGGGTGTGGGTCGTCCTTGGTGACCGGCCAGATGATGAACCATTGCCTCTGCGTCTTGCGGCCATTGGCGTCCTTGTTCCACTGTTTGCAAGGGTTTCAACCATTGAGCGTGGATCATGATTGGATCTGGAACGACGCCCTCCTCTTTGGCTTGAATTCGTCAAAGTTGAAGCATTCGATCGAGCTGACCGTCTCGTCGCGACCTCATGGGGCACACTAGACGTATTCCCACCAGTGCTTGACGCCATGGTGGCTCATAATGAGGCGAAAAGAGCGCACTTTGACTGTCATTGTCAACTTTTTCTGTCGAAGTTTCTTTTCCACGGAAACGAAAAGATGAGCCGTAGATTCAGTACCGGTTTCCACGGGACAAAATCGACTGCAGGGCAGTCGGCCAACCCACAGGCCAGCGCCTAGCGCCATACCAACATCCATACATGAAGATACGGCTAATACTCGGACACAAGCAGGGTCTAATGATGTTGTACAAGTACATGATATACCTATAAGAGCGTTAGCAATCTATTGGTTAACACAGCCGGTGCGCATGCCAGATCGACTGCCTGGCAGTCGATTCACGAGTCAGCCAGGACTAAACGATAGTATACCTCCGGTACTCTAAACCCCCTTTCTCATAAAACAAAGAGCTTTGGTAAATTATTCAAAGCTAATTTGGCTTACTAGTATACTAGTATGTCATACATGGTGTTTGGTATTTGATCTGTGGTCTCAGAAAACACTCGAACAATGAAGAGTGCCCAAACAAATGCCAATGAAACTATATACTGGCAGTGACGACCATGATCTTGGCATTGCGGCGGGGACAAACCAACAAGGGACTGGATAAAAAAGCAGCAGATACAAAAAGGAGGATCAGTTTGAAAATCTTGCCCGCAGTCACAGTAAAAAATCTAGCAATGATGGCAGTGACCCTCTTGTTGTGCCTCAAGCACACGGACCCGAACCCATTTTTGGATGTTAACGGCATCCAGCCAATGCCAACAACCTTATTACGAGCACGAGTATTGCAAAATCAACATCCTGGCGCATATGCAGTTGGGGGCATGGGCAATCACTTTTCAGCTAATAATCACAGCATCACCCACAATGCGGAAAATGTCCCATTTGACATCACAGGCAGGAGCACGACTGAAAATAATGGGCTACCAGTTGCAAATCAGGTAGCCGAGAAGTCAAATTTACCCGTAGCAGATTTGGAAACTGAACACAGCAATTTACGGGAGAAAAGGGATGATTCCCCTTTGGTGGTTTTCGGAACCATTTATACCTCCTTTGTCTGATTGTGCTCATCGTTGTGGTTGCTGTGGTTGCAAGCTCTAATGGGACTGAAGAAGGAAAAGAACAGAATGGTCCTTTGGAATCACAAACAATGGCCCCATCTGGACTTCCGGATGAGACACTCAACTTGTCCAACATTGAGCTTTTGATCATACAGGCATTGCCCAATTACGTGCTGAAAGCACTTGAGGAACCGGACTCTCCTCAGTCCCTTGCCTATGAATGGTTACAGGAAGACTTAGAAAAAACAACTACACCCTCACCAGCAGGCTCAAGCAGAGGTTTGCGCTTGCTTCACTCTTCTAAGCTACAAGTGGAGAGGACTGGTTGGTGAATGAGAATTGGTTGAACCATTCAGTTCATGAGTGTTTTTGGTTCGCAAGAGAGACCTTTTTGGATGTACCTACTGACAATTTTTCCTACGTTGAAGTAACAAACCCCAATCCTTGCGAGATGCCACCAGAGCAAATCAATGGCTCAAGAGCTGTCAACATTGAACATAATGACTACCAGCATATCTGGCTCCATTCTAATTCACTTCAAGGCAGCTCGCCCCTCGAACTTTTTGGCTTACTGACTTGAGAAGCATTTCCCTATACAACAACCGAGATGTGGCTGGTTCTATTCCCTCCAATATTGGGAAGCTAAGCAAGGTGGAAGCCCTTAACTTGGGGAGGAACAAGCCTTTCTGGCTCACTTCCAACTGATATTGGCCTCTTGTCTGACTCCATGTTCAGTGTTGCCATAATCAATGCTCAATTGGAGGGAAACTTTCCATCAGAGCTAGGTCTCTTGCAAAACCTGCGTGATCTGTTGGCTGATCAAAATAGATTCACTGGGGTTGTTCCAGCTGAGTTGGGCAATGCATCTAGTTTGGAATGGATCTACTTGTCTGACAACTCCTTCACAGGGATGTTCCCCAACTTTCTGGTGCATCCTCCATTGGTGCTATTTTACATTGACTTGAATCATTTCTCAGGACCCTGCCCACAGAAATTGGTTTGCTTAGTGACGTCAAGGATTTTGCTGTATACGGCAACAGCTTCACAGGAACCATCCCAAGTCAACTTGGTCTTCTGTCCTCTCTGGAAAATCTTGACATTGATGAAAACTACATTTCTGGAACTTTTCCCTCCTAGCTTTTCCTTCTCACCAACATGAGAGAATTGTGGGCTTGTTGTAATGGTCTCACTGGAACCATCTCCAGTGAGTTTGGTGGGATTGCCACCCTTGAACGTTTAATAACAGCTGCAAATGCTCTGACAGGAACCATTCCTTCTGAGTTTGAACAACTTCAACTGCTGAACACCTTGAGTTTGGACCATAGCATGTTGTCTGGGTCACTCCCACAAGGTCTCAGCTCCCATATTTGGTGGTTGGATGTCACCAACAACAGTTTGTTGACTGGAGCCTTACCAGCACAGTTTACCAATTTGTTTTGGTTGTTTTTGGAAGGGACACAAATCTCTGGGATTTTTCCAGACTGTCTTTGTGACATTGACACCCTGGAGTTTGACTGCAGTTCAATCCTGTGTGGATGTGGTTGTAGTTGCGCAAATGAAACCAACATCACTTTTTCCCACGTCACGAATGCAACAAATAGTGATGCTTCCCGGATGTGAAGAAAATACAGTACAGCAGAACCAGCCAGTGCATGATCTTGCCTGTCTTTTGCAATACACGGCTCTTAGCCTTATTCGCGACTCGATCCTAGATAGGGTTTGAGTTCGACTCATGACTGAGTCTCTCGTGAATAGTCATTTGAGACAGGGTTCTCAATGACGGCTAGTCATACTAGGTTGATGATGGAAACATCGCCTAGATATTTAGCCAGCGTGGAGTACTCTTCACGCTACTAGTATCCATGACTAGAAAACCTTCCCACGCGTTCGTTTTAGGATCGTGGAGAGACGTAGGTATTACTACCGTCTCGAACTACTCTATACACTTTATAGTCTCCCGCGGGAAGCCAGATCTACGATCTTTGATGATGATCTCATCTCGTTGTTCGTATTAGTTTTTCATAGCTTTCTATCTCTCTCATAAACTTTCATTCTCTAAACATCAAAACACTCGAAAGATCTTTACACTAGCTTTTAGCGTAGTGATTTTGTTAACAACAACAATAGCTTTCAGCTACCCTCAACTTATTCCTTCACCATGAAGATGGGTCAAGGAAAGCATGCGTTCCGCACATTCGAGAAACAGTTGCGTGCACAAACCCATTCTTCCTCTACGTCGACAATGACGAAGAAAACTAGATCGACGATACTCGTAAAACTACTTGCAAACTTCGCAACCATGTTGACAATGCGCAAATCAGTAAGATCTCTGACAATGAGGACAACTCCTTCTATAATTTCAATCATTGGATGGAGAAATCTCTATCTGAGGATTAGGCCAGGATGCTGAAAAATTTCAACCAAAAAACCCAAAAAAAAAAAAAAAAAAAAAAAAAAAAAAAAAAAAAAAAAAAAAAAAAAAAAAAAAAAAAAAAAAAAAAA